AAAGATCCTGATTTTTGATTTAAAGCACTAAAGAATAGTAAATCTTAAAGGAATTTTCTTTCTTCTAATTATTCTCTATTGAAAACACTTCCATAATCTACTACTTATCTTAATAATTAGATAGGTTATTATGTACCATATTTATCTACATATGGCATATTCATATCATCAATGAAACAAATTAATGCTTTTCCTGTAGCACTACCAAAAGTTCTACCAGATTTCTTTTCAACCATAGATTCTATATTCTTCTATAATGCTAATGAATCAGTAAATGATGAAAAGTTGATAGTTTTATATGATACTTGATCTGTTTTAGTTTAACTCAAATAATCTTTGATAACAGCAGATTTACCAGTACCTGCAGATCCTACAAATAACACACATTTCTTTCTTCTAAGATGATAATCTAATAAAGTTCTTAATCTAGTTGTATGTAAAGTAGCAACATAGATTTTAGAGAAGATAGCTTCATCAGTAGCAATATAAGGTACTACTTTACCTTACCAATGAGTCCATTTTTATTCAGCAAAATCAAAGTAATAATCGAAACACATACCTTATTCTGGCATTCTTACTTTAGCAGCAGCTTTCCATACAGAGTTGAAATCTTTCATATCTTTTTCATCATCTTATCCTCCTCCAAAACAACCACCAATAGCCCACATTCCTGCATAAATGAAATAAGCTTCATAAATCATTTTTTGATCATCTTCTTTCATTTGTGCAATCTTTGTGTAATCTGTTTCTAAAAGTAATGCATCCAAAATCATACAGATAGTCATTACTTAAGCAATATCAACTTATGGAACTATTAATCTGACTTTACTTTTATCTCTGATATCTGGATTGGTTTCAAAGTATTATTAGAAACATCTATAGAATACAGATTTAGCAATATCATCAATAGGAGGTGATTATGGTACTTATCCCATCAATCCTTCTCTTTTCACTACACATTTTTCAAATGATCTTTCTAACCAACTATTCATATAAGGCATCCAACCAATATCTGTTTCATTAATAAACAAGACACCACCTCTAGATACTGTAGCAGGAGTAGCATTCTTAAGATTTGAAATTTCAAATAACAATCTCATTGATGGAGTCAAAGGAATACGATCATTTGACACTAGTGTAAGTACTTTATTATCATCCATAACTGTATTTAAGGATTCAATCCATTCAGGATCAATATCACCATCTAAAATTGACCATTTATGTAAATGACTAGGTTTATACTTTTCTTCACATTTATTTTAATTCTTCATAATCATACTTAAAACACCATTCTTCCATTCCTTTGTCTTAGTATAACATCCAAATAATTCATCTGATGTTACTGCCTTAGGATTTAAAGTATCTAATTCGAAATCTTCTCCTCTATTTTAATGAGTCTTTGCCAAAGTTTTCCATACACTTGTTTTACCACAACCTGGTGGACCTATAACAAATACACAATGTCTCACTTCCAATATTTCAGCCAATTAAACTATTTTTAATACAAACATTTCTTCAGCTACTAATCCCATATCTTATTTAGTTGTATCAACTACAATTTTCTTTAAATCAGGATTTGTTTTACTTTCACATTCAATTCTTGGGAATAAATCTCCTATCAAACCTAAAAAGATTGGTTTATCATCTGTAACAATCTTTGGCATATTGAAATCTCTTAGAGCTCTCATCAATAATGGATCCTCTGCTATTTATGGATCTGCTCTCTTCAATTTACCAGCTTATCTCAACACTGATTTTACTGCTCTCAAACCCCAATCATAATGTCTAGCTTTTGATAACAATTCTCTGGATAACATATACAAAGATACGAATTTTCTACTTAATGCTCTTGCTTATTAGAAACCTTCAGACATAAGCATATTTTCACAAATCAATACTAAATCTGGTACAACCATAGCACATGATCTAAACAATGCTTTCAAATTTTCAGGTAATTCAGTTCTACCTGCATATCCTGGATTCATAGTAATAAAGAATCCTACAGTGTCTTATATTGATATTTCTCCTTCTTCCATAAATATTAATTTAGGTTTCTTTTCCTTTAATGCATCCAAAATAGTTTTAACTTGTGTACTAATGACTGATAACACTTCTATTGCTATTCTATTAAATTCATCGAAACATCCCCATGCTCCTGATTAAGACAAACCCATAAAGATTTGAGCCATTGAATCTTTACCCATTTGATCTGAACAATTAAAAACCATGACTGGTAATCCTACTGCTCTGCCTAAATCTTTTGTAGTTTCAGTCTTTCCAGTACCAGCTGGACCTGCAGGTGCACCACCCATTGTAAGATTCAATGCTTATGTTAATGTAATGTAACATCTATCTGTTAATGGAGTAATGACCAATCTTAATGCATTACCAACATATTCATATGAATAGAATCTGAACCAATCAACAATTCTAATAATACACTTTGATTTATCTCTTTCTTTCTCCCATTTGAATCTCAATGCTTATCTTAAATGCATATCATTATCCTTATTATCCCAATAAAATTTCAATTGTGACAACCAAGCAAAAGATTCTAATTCTTGAGTTTTCTAAAGACAGAATTTTTCAACAACATCTCTTGAATGTACATCGATTGTAATGATGTTAATGATTTTCATACGTTCTAAAATTTCCAAATTACCTCTGACTTTTTTAATCAAATTATCAATACGAACTTCAATCAATTTCAAACATTCTTTCATTGCTGTTTCAGCACCACCACCTAAATCTTCAAATGCTCTAGTAACATCTTCAGTCCATACAATTTATGTTGTTAACAATGCAATTTAAGCACAATAATTTTTAACCCAATCTTCTCTAGGATTGTCACCACTTTCCCAATTTTCTGATGTTTCTTTAGCCTTTTCTAATATTTCTTCTAATGTCTCTCTCATCTTATATTCTAATGCTGATAACCAATGTTCAACTGCTCCTACACATTCAAAATTAGATGAAAATGGAACTCTCTCATCATCCTTAGAAATCATACTATGTGTGCTTCTTGGAATATCATTTGGATTTTTTGTTGGTTCAAAAGTAAGTGTTTTCATTCCATCGAAACAATCACCTAAGAATTCACAAACTTTAGGTGGATTTTAACCATTTGATAAAATAGTTAATAGGGATTGATTTGACAAGAAATAGAATCTAGGAAATGCTTTCTTTTTCTATTCTAAATAATCATTTAAAGCTTTTTCACATTTCTTAATATTTAAACTCATAGCAACTAATTAATCCTTTCTTTCATTAATACATGCTTCAATAACCAATGGATTAGCTGCAACTTCAGTCATAAGTTCTCTAAATTCTTTATCAACAGCTTCAAATACTTTAGTATCTTCTGGTAATTACATTCTAATATCTTCAGATCCAATAAAGATATTAACTAAAGTCTTCCAATTCTTTTAAACTTTCAACCATTCACCAACAACAGAATCAACTCTTCCTAATTTTTCTCTCCAATCTTCTACTGTATTGTAAAAGAATTCAACATATTTACCTTATCCTTTCATACCCATTAAATCAAGAGAATGTTAATCTAACATTTCCATCATATTATCTAATGGTAAAAAGATCTTAGTTTCTTTATAATCTTCAAATTCAAAGATTTATTTCAACCAAGCTGTTTCAATCAATTTCAATTTCTTTTCAATTTTAGCTTCCTTTGATGCTACTTCTACTACTTCATTTATTTATGCATCAAATTTATATAATTATAAAGCAAGAATATCATCAAATAAGAATGTCATAGCTTTATGTTCAAATTTACTCTTAGTCATATCTTTAACTTAACTCCAATGTCTATCTTCCATNATAATATTAATAATTTTCATACGCTCTAATATTTCTAAATTTCCTCTGACCTTCTTAATCAAATTATCAATACGAACTTCAATCAATTTCAAACATTCTTTCATGGCTGTTTCAGCACCACCAGCCAAATCTTCAAATGCTCTAGTAACATCTTCAGTCCATACAATTTATGTTGTTAACAATGCAATTTAAGCACAATAATTTTTAACCCAATCTTCTCTAGGATTGTCACCACTTTCCCAATTTTCTGATGTTTCCTTTGCCTTTTCCAATATTTCTTCTAATGTCTCTCTCATCTTATATTCTAATGCTGATAACCAATGTTCAACTGCTCCTACACATTCAAAATTTGATGAAAATGGAACTTTCTCATCATCCTTAGAAATCATACTATGTGTGCTTCTTGGAACATCATTTGGATTTTTGGAAGGTTCAAAACTAAGTGTTTTCATTCCATCGAAACAATCACCTAAGAATTCACAAACTTTAGGTGGATTTTAACCATTTGATAAAATAGTTAATAGGGATTGATTTGACAAGAAATAGAATCTAGGAAATGCTTTCTTTTTCTATTCTAAATAATCATTTAAAGCTTTTTCACATTTCTTAATATTTAAACTCATAGCAACTAATTAATCCTTTCTTTCATTAATACATGCTTCAATAACCAATGGATTAGCTGCAACTTCAGTCATAAGTTCTCTAAATTCTTTATCAACAGCTTCAAATACTTTAGTATCTTCTGGTAATTACATTCTAATATCTTCAGATCCAATAAAGATATTAACTAAAGTCTTCCAATTCTTTTAAACTTTCAACCATTCACCAACAACAGAATCAACTCTTCCTAATTTTTCTCTCCAATCTTCTACTGTATTGTAAAAGAATTCAACATATTTACCTTATCCTTTCATACCCATCAAATCAAGAGAATGTTAATCTAACATTTCCATCATATTATCTAATGGTAAAAAGATCTTAGTTTCTTTATAATCTTCAAATTCAAAGATTTATTTCAACCAAGCTGTTTCAATCAATTTCAATTTCTTTTCAATTTTAGCTTCCTTTGATGCTACTTCTACTACTTCATTTATTTATGCATCAAATTTATATAATTATAAAGCAAGAATATCATCAAATAAGAATGTCATAGCTTTATGTTCAAATTTACTCTTAGTCATATCTTTAACTTAACTCCAATGTCTATCTTCCATGAATTCACTATGTAAAGCTGAAACCAATGGTAATACAACTGACATATTCTTAACCTTATCAACAATAGCATTATATCCTTTGAAGTTTTTGACTTCCTTTGGTAAGTTCTTCAATTGAAGTCCCAAGATTTTATTAGATTCTAATAAGACATCAGCCTTAATTTATCTGAATGGTTTAGATTTCCAATCATTATATTAGTAATTTACCATTGAAATAGCATCCCACATTATTTTCAATGATTTCAAATCAACATTTGTTTCTCTTAATTATTTATAACCACTTTTCTCTAATTCAAACAATTTCTCCAATTGATTATAATCTGCAGCCTCTTTCTCCATCTATAATAACTTTTTATAGTAATCATCAATTGTGACATATGAATATAATATTGAATCCATCTTCATATCATCATGATAACTATAAGGTAAATTATTTAAAGTATCATTTCTAAAGTCTGATACCTTCTTTTAGAATTCATCTAATTTCTTCTTAATATTGATGGTTTCTTAAGTTTATAATGGTAAGATTTCAGCTTTAATCTTAAACACTTTCTAAGTTGTCTCATTAAATTAAGTAAATGCATTATCAATACTTTAAACTGGATCTTCTTCTCCTTTCTCCATTATTTAAACTCCATGTTTCTTTAATTTATTAACCATTTCTTTCATTCTTACAACAATTCCTTCACATTTATGTTCCACATCTTTAACATCTGATATAACTCTCATAACTTTCATTAATAAATCTCTATTTCCAGTATTCTCTTCACTTGCAGGATTCTCTTTGATTCCTTCATTTGTTCTTTGAATAAATCCTTTAAGGTTTTTCAATGTAGTCTTGAATTAAACAACTAAAAATTCAGTGTAAACTTTTATTTATTGACTCACCTTATTTTCAAGTGCACTTTTCAATGGTTGTAAATTGATTCTCAACCATGATATTTCATAAGGTGTCATTATTCTATTGATTTCTTATTGAATATTTTTCAATGTTGTAATTTTATCATCAAAAAAATCTAATTTTGGAATCTTTATTCTACAACCTTACAATAAAGGATTTTATGATTAATCTTCATCTTCAGGTGCATCTTTGGGTTCATTCTTTATCATGAAATCTTCGAAAGCTGATTTAGGATCTTCTAACCATAGATAACTATAAGTCATATAAGATTATTTAAAGGATTTAGTTTCTTCTTCAATTTAATCTAAATTAAGATTGATAGCCTGAACTATTTCTTTGATTTCAAAATATTCTTTAATTTCTGGCAAATAATCACCAAAAGGATTTGCAGAATCTAATCTTTAAAATTAGCCTGCAATATAAAACATATCATTAGCCCATCCTCTAATTGTATTACGAACACTTTGTCCTTATGTTGCTTCTTCAATTTCAGGTTCATATTGAATTCCTACATTTCTAAATAATTCTAATTTGATATCAAATAAAGGTGCAATTTCATGTTTCTTAATATATTATGGATTGATTTATTCATTCATATGTGTTAAAGCAGTTATAATGGCTCTTGCTAAACCATTAATAACAATTGAATTTAAATAATATTGATAATTTATCCAAGCCTATTATTTTTTGTCAACTTTAACTTAATCAAGAACTTCTTTAACAAGTTTGTTAATTGATGTTCCATTATCTTTAACTATAGATAACTTATTCTAAACAACTGCCTTTAAGAATTGATCATAATCATCTGGAGACATTGGTTTATTTTTTCTCTCAATTATCTTAGTATTGAATTTCTCTAATGCTTACTCTATCTTTTTTAGAGTTTCCTTCATCTTTTACACTATTTAGTGTAATTCATCAACAGTAGCCTTGGCTGTTTCAATAAATTTATTAATGTCATTACTCTTCCATTTGTAATGTTCAATACCTGGTTTCAGTACTTCATCCATCTTTTCAATTCTATTCTTTATCAAAGGTTCTTCCATTGGATGTAATTAAGTTACTATGAAATTATGATTCTCAACAATCATTTCCAATTAAACTATATATTCTCTAAAAGTATCATTTTTAGAAAATAATTCTGAGGCAGATTCAGGAACTGGTTATTCAAGCAATGTGAAATATTTCACTTCTCTTAATAATCTAACCAAAGCAGGATCAAAATTAACTCTTAATAAACCATTCTCATCTTTTGATAATAAAGGTTGCTTTTGTTTTTCTTCTGATACTTTACCTACTTCTTATTCCCAACTCAAAATCTTTGTTTATTCGTAATCTTTTATTTATTTTGTTATTGATTAATATAATTTCAATACATCCTTATATTCTTCTCTTTCTGTTATACCTTATCCTAATTATGCCAATTTATCTAAAGGTTCTGTAATTCTATCTCTTAATCCTTTGCACCACATCAATGCTCCTGCAATAGGAGGCATATTATTATAAATTGGTGCTCTTTCATTTAATTTATCAACCAATTCATAACCTTCCAAAAAGATTTATTAAACTTATTTCAAATCTTATTTGTACATATCTAATAATACTATATGTTTTTTCTCTAATTCATCCTAGATAATTGGTCTGGATAACAAACCTTCAAAACTATCTAATAATTTGAATCTTCCATGTAATGTATCATAATCATCAAATCCTTATGTAATTACTGAAGCTAATCTTCTTTCTAATTCCTTAATCTTTGATCTGAATTCATAAAAACTATCATCAAATTCTTTTTGTGTTATGTCCATAATATCATATTTTACTTATTAGAATTGTTCAACAGCTTTTTAAAATTCAACAAAAATTTATTAAACTGATTCAGTCAATGTTTTTCCTTTTGTACCACCAAGATCAATCTTGGCTAATTTATTAAACTAAACTATAGTATTAGTTAAATGTAAAATATCATGACATCTTTCTAAAAAGGAATCTAATCTAACAAATAATGCATTAGTAGTCAATTTCCAATGACCTTCTGCTTTGGCTTTATATTCAAAGTAAGCATCTTTAAACTTTGTACAAACGTCAATAGTAATTTACAACTTTTCACAAGCCTCAAATGTTTCTTCTGAACTAATCATTTAGAATATCATTGGTCCATTAACAAAGTCTTGAGCTTTGGTTATGATTGCATTGCATATCTCTCTTATCAAAACTACTAATCTTGGTGGAGTATTATAAAATTTAGAATTTTTCCAAATCAATAGAATTCTATGCATTATTGGAATGAATAATTCATGTAAAGCCTAAAAGTCTCCACCAGTATCTTATAGTCTTTAGAAAGGATCTTTCAATAAATCTAAAAATTTATTATTATCATTTGCTTCTTCTCTTGCCTTTGTTACCTCCCTTTATAATTTTGAAAATGGATTTGTATAAGTTGATTTGTTGACTTCCAAAAATCTTAAGATTTTAATCACTTCAGTTCCTTCCAATTAGTCTTTTATGCTATTAAGATTGGCAGCTTTATTTTCCCAAAATTTTAATTCAACCAAAGGTCCTGGATTGTGTCCATTCTTCAAAGCTTATTCTGGTTCTAATTTCAATACGTTTTTTATTTATTTTGTCCATGTTATAATTGAACTTTCATAAACATGGGCTTTATCTTTTGCTGGTGTTGTATCTGATTAAGTTAATTTGTGTGATGGAATTGGCTTAAATATATTATAATAATTTACCAATTTAGTTCTTCCTTCTATTTAACCAATCATAACGTAAACTTAAGCAACGTATGCATTGAATTTCTCCATTAAATCTTTTGCTACTAAGTCTGTCCAACCCTGTTGATTACTAGGATTCTATAAGATTGGACTCATTATCTCATAGAAGGTTGAGTATAAATGCTCCAAAATCTAAAATAAAATAAAATAGTTACATTTCTTGTTAATTCCAAAAACACTATATTATGAGTGATATTTTATATTGAAAGTGGGCTTTCAGATATTTTAAGTGCAATCAGCCCCTTCTTTCTAAACTTATCTGGATGAGGAACATCTGAAAATAATGTAACAGACTCTGCCCCAGATTGAATGGCAAATACAGCTATCATATTACTTTCATCTTTCATTAGTCTGTCAAACACTATTCTAATTAATTTTAACACTGGTAAAATTACTTATTATCCTCTGCTTCAAATGATTTCTTGAATTTGTCTTATTAAATTGAGTTCCTTATATTGAATGAGCATGCCAGACGATTTATAAAATAATCTTCTTTGCTTTTTAAAGGTTCTTAATCACCCATTCAAAAATAGTAATATTATTTGAAAAAATTAATAATATCCTTTTTCATTAGGAAGTTATGCTTTTAAACAGCAAATCGTGGTTTATAATAAATTATCAAATTAAGAGATAAATATTTGTGATTAATATAATATTGCTGATTAATCCATGCATCCAAATCATTTTCTTCAAATTCAATCCAATAGATGTTAAGATTGACAATACTACTGCTAATCAAAATGAGGTAATTCATTTCTGTGCCATAATTCAGGATACTTTACATAGAACATCATTATCTTATTTTTATATTATAAATATTGTCTTAATTTCTATTTCTTCCTCGATTTTAAAATGTACAAAGATGCTATTAAATTTAAATAAATCCAACAACCTTTTTTTTATAAAAACTCAATTAAATAGTCTTAGAAAATTCTTTTCCTTTAAATCGTTTCATTTGAATCATCTTTATTTAAAATTAGATGTTATTTTAAAGCCTGAAATCCAATTATTGATGAACCAATTCTTTTATAATAGTTTACTATATCTTATGGCAATTCAAAATTTTCCATAGCTTGAATTGCATTCCCAACTATATAACGACATTCATTTTAAAACTTTGATTTCTTTTCCTTCTTTAATTATCTTCTAAATACATTTTCCAGTTTTTCTCTTATTTTGTTTCTATTTAAATGAAATCATTACTTCTCCTCTTAATCACTCTCCATAATCACATCTTCATTTTTATTCAAATCAAAAAGAATTTCCATTTCAGTTGTACTAATTTTATTTAAACAATCCATACTTATCTTCATTGTTTTAGTTTTCTTAAAAATGGCAAAAACTCAAAGGCAATGAATCCTATTCTTGATATTATATATAGTTTGAAATATCTTCAAAACTTTCACAATTAAAAACTTGATCAGCCATCATTTTTTAAAAATTCTAAATTAATTAAACTAAGTCTCTGGTTTATTTTTTGATTCCTATTTATATGTATGTTTAATAATAAAAACTAATGCATATAATATATCTTCTAATACATGAATATTTAAGCTATTTAAAAATGAAGAAAACAAAATAAATTTATCAATAAAATGGAAAAATATTATGATTAATTAAAAGAACTAAGAGTTTCATCATCTATATACATAAAATAGAATCTAGGTATATAGATTATTTCAATTTGTTTTATTAGACAAAATAATTTTTAAATCGTTCAAATATCATCGATATCTTTTTTGGTTATCTTTTCTTTATTGTCTTTGGCAGGTGCTTATGCTTTTTATGGTTATGGTTTTTATGGTTATTGTTTTTATGGTTATTTTGGTTCAGAGTCAGAGTCATCATCAGAATCACTATCACTCAAATCTGAATCAGAACTTGATGATTCTTCTTTATTAACAAAAACAACATTATCTCCAATATTATCACCTCCTCCTTCTTCTAAATTCTTAATTTTAATACTTTAAATTATTATACCTCTGGAATTTCTTTAAGATTTTTCAGCTATTTGATTTCTTCAGGAAAATATTTATACACTACATCACATTTTTCATCTTAAAATTCTCTCAATGCAACAAGCACAATGTCACCATTTTAAATCCAAACCTTACGTCTCATTTTACCTCTAATGTGACCTAGTCTTTATTTACTGTCACCCAAACATAAACAGATCAATCTTCCACTTCCCAACAATTTTATAACTTAAGCATAATCTTAGCCATCATCTTTTGTCTCTAATTATCTCTTAGTTAAATTTTCATTTTTTCCTCTTCTATAATTCTTACCACCTCTTCCCTTATTTTTGGGCATTATTTAAAATTTAATCTTTATTGAAATAAAAATTTTAGGTTTTCAGATTTCTGATATATATTCAAATACAAGTTTGTAATAATATTTCATAGATATATATTTACATTATATATTTCAGAAATTAAATACTTATACCATATGTTTTTATAACTTATTATAATAATAATTTATATTAATATTTATTAATTCTAATTTATGTAAAATCTCTGCATATTAGAATAATTCTAATTGTTAGATATAATAAGAAATTATATCTTGTATATAAATTATCTAAAATTATTAAAAATTTTAAATTATAATTCATTCTTTCAACTTGAATGAAAAGGATCTTCATTATTTAAAGGTTATTCTTTATGTTTTTTATCTAATTAGATTACAAAAATATTTACTTTATTTTATTTCATTATTATTTTGAGTAGAAATATCTTTATATTTATCTTGCTATTAGTTTTATCCTTTTCTCTTCTTATAATTTTAATAAGCAAGAAAGATTCCCACTAAAATATCAATAAAAACTCCAATAAAAAATAGTATAATATATACAAAATTAAAGGTATATATTGATGTTTTTAAAACATCTAAAATCATTTAAAATTCATCCTAAATATTAATATTAGTATTACTAATGTAAATTTATCAGAACAATTTTGATCAATTAACTTTTTGAAGAAATTAATCCTCCCTTAAAGTGAATCGAAATTAATAATAATTATTATTGCATTAGCTATTTAAGTTAATTCTTTTAAAGTAAACTAAATAAAAAACAATTTATTAGATTCTTGTGTTCCTTTTCCACTTATAAAAGGTAAATCAAGTCCAAAAATTGTTAAACAATTTAAAATAAGCATTAAAATGAAGACAGTTACACATATTATTGATATGATCATTAAAATCAATTATTAACTTTCAATATTTTCTAAATATTCTACAGAATCCATAAATTCTTTTTAATATTTTCTACAACTTAAAGTAAAATTTATATAATTTCTACCATATAGACCCCATTGATATAAACTTGATATATGATAACCTGGCGCTTTTTTAGCAATATCTAAAGCCTTATTTGCCTAAAAGAAATTGAATTCATCAAATAAATAAATTAATTAAAATCTTGGATCTCTTTCACAATCATATCCAGGATCTGATATTAATTCATAATTAGATCTTCCTGATGTAATACTTCTTTCATTTATCTTTCTACAAACACCATTTCCTTATGCAATTTTAAATTCAACTAAAGGTAATAAATTATCATTTTATCTGAAAGTTTAAAAGTAATCTTAGCTTTCACTATCAAAATTAGAATTATTCTTCATTTAAAATATAGGACATTCTTTTTCTTAAGTACAATAAAAATAATCTGAATTTGTTCCACATTTTAATTCATTTTCTTTACATTCATTTACTTTAGGTGAATTCAAAGCAAAACTATTATTTCCTACTTCTCTTAAACCACATATTCTTAATGATTTATTACCAAAATCAACAGGTAATCTTATAAAATCTCTAGAACTCATTTCAACAATATCTTAACATCCTGCAGCTCTCATACTACTATTGCACTCTTATTCCAACAATTTGTCTTTACGAGTATATAAAATTCTTCTAGGTTCAATATATTATTCGTTGTATCTGCAATCGCAACCTTATTCTATACCAGGCCATATGTAATGATTAATAATTTCTTCCTGTGATATTTTGAATATTTACATTTTATACACAGTCACCTTCTGTATATCTAATAGATTTAAATGGTTATAAACTCCAATTATGATTAATATTATATAAGTAATCTTAAACATCTATAATTTGGCAATAACTTATGATTGATAATACCATTAATGTAATATTAAGTAAAAGCAGATAAATTTAGAATGCAATACGAAACGGAACATTGTCAGGGACTTCTGATGTTTCTTATCTATCAATTGTATAATCTTTCATAAAAAATATACTAATAAATAATTATCAATATCCTTAATAGTATTTAGATTTGAATTAAAAAGTAGGTTTTGTTTTAAACTTTAACTGTATGTATTTTTACTATTTTTTTTAGATTTATATTGAAAATTTTTATCAGATGAGAAGAATATCTAATAATCATATGAAATGACCTTCATTATTTGTTAGAAATGCGATGATACTAAAAATTTTAAAGATAATATTAAATGAATTATTTTTGGAGAACTTAAGATCTATTAAAAGAATCAATATTTTTTATTATAGTCTAATTATAAAATTGAAAAAATTCTTAATACTTGTTTTAATAAAGTTATATTAAATCAAGTTTAAAAGGGATTTTATTGATATTATTAATTTTAGATTGGCTGATTTTGGTAGTTTTATTATGGATAATAATTAGGAGGTGGGTATTATTGCAGGTTGTTTTGTGCTCCAAAATTAGTTTATACTTAAGGATAAAAATTTGGTGGTTATTGAAAATCATTAAATTATGCATTTAAATTTTCTTATTTTAAAATTTCTTGCTCAGGATTACTACTTATATGCTTGTTTACTAAAATTCATATTGCATATTTACTTTCTTATTATTGCTGTTGATTTCTTATTTAAGCCAATCGCTTTCTTTCTTAATAATAACTATTCAATAGTGATACTCCAACTATTAGATCAACACAGGCTCCTAAGAAAAACATTATAATATATGCAAGATTGTAGTTATAAATTTTTTCTTATAAAACATCTCTAATGATAGAAATATCATCCTATTTATATAATAAAATGTACAAGTGTTACAATGTCGGAACAACCTTCATCAATTAAATTAGAGTAAAAATTAACTTAAGTGTTTACTGCAGAAAAACTTATAATTGCTATGATTGCCTAAATTAATTGGAAAGTTTCCTTGATTCCAGCTTATATACAAAATAAAGTGTTTGATTCTTATGTTCCTTTTCCTTTAATACAAGGCAAATCCACACCTTTTATTGTACAACAGTTTAAAATAAATAAAATAATAAAGAGTACTACACAAATTATTGAGATTATCATTAAAACTAATTATTTGACATCAATATCTTCTAAAACCTCTACAGAATCCATAAATTCTTGTTAATATTATCTACAACTTAACGTAAAATTGATATAATTTCTTGTATATAGACCCCACTAAAATTAACTTGATATCTGATAACCTGGTGCCTATTTAGCAATATCTAAAGCATCATTAATTTAAAAGAAATTGAATTCATCAAATAAATAAATTAATTAAAATCTTGGATCTCTTTCACAATCATATCCAGGATCTGATATTAATTCATAATTAGATCTTCCTGATGTAATACTTCTTTCATTTATCTTTCTACAAACACCATTTCCTTATGCAATTTTAAATTCAACTAGAGGTAATAAATTATCATTTTATCTGAAAGTTTAAAAGTAATCTTAGCTTTCACTATCAAAATTAGAATTATTCTTCATTTAAAATATAGGACATTCTTTTTCTTAAGTACAATAAAAATAATCTGAATTTGTTCCACATTTTAATTCATTTTCTTTACATTCATTTACTTTAGGTGAATTCAAAGCAAAACTATTATTTCCTACTTCTCTTAAACCACAAACACTTAATTTTTTATTACCAAAATCAACAGGTAATCTTATAAAATCTCTAGAACTCATTTCATCAACATCTTCACATCCTGAATCCCTCATTGTATCATTACATTCTTATTTCAATATTTCATCAGGCCTATCATATAAAATTCTCATAGGAGCAATATATTAATCTCCAAATCTACAATCGCAACCCTAATCTATACCAGGCCATATGTAATGATTTAAATTTTCTTCCTTTAATACAAACAATTATTACATTTTATAAACAATCCCCCTATGTTAATCTAATGGATTTAATTGGTAAGGTGTTCCAATTTTAAACAATATTTCTAATATAAATGATATTTTCAGATAATGACACAAAAGCAATAATAGATAATACCATAAGAGTGATACCAAGTGATAGTAAATAACATTAAAATAATATTCTAGCCTTGATATTACTTGGAATATTTGATGTTTCTGCTCTCTTCAAAGAAGGCTCCATTATTGTATGAATAAAATTAATATTCAAATTTTGATATACTATTTTACATCATATAAATTTCAGATCGTCATTTAAATACTATTATTTATTTGATAAAAGATAAATTATAACCTATAATATTTAAAGTAATATAAATTTAAATAGAAAATTATTAACTAAATTTAATCTCAAGTTATAATAAATCATTTATTATATTTAAACTTTGGAATAGTATTACTTAAAGGGTGTTAAGGTGGATCTTATAATGTTAAATCAGAAAATGAGGAATTATCTATTATTAAGATAATTTTATACTTGAATATTCAAAATTTGAAGAGTATTTACTTAATAAAATATCATCTTCTTCTTCATCAATTTAATCAATTTCTTAAATTTTTTTTTATATTTTTATTTCTCGACGTTCTTCTAGTTCTCTTGAAGACTGGCTTTATTATTGTTATTTTTATTTTAATTCGAATTCAATTTTTTACAAATTCTATTCAATTTGTATGTTTTATGGTTTGACAAACTAATTTTTATTTTATTAAAATCTTTTTATTGCCAAGGCTTAATTAAATCCATTTTATTTAACAACAGCAGGTCTAACAGTCAAAATTTTAAAAAGGGATAAGATTATCGAGATTATGCATTTCCCAAAAAGAAATGTCATCCATAATCGCATTGTAGGCCATTTTGGATCAAAATAATTATAAAAACCAGTCATATTAGTCTTAGAGGAGAATATCCAAATAAAGATGAATAGTACTAATTCAATAAAAATCATCCTATAAGTTTCGATTATTATTTCATAATTAACTTTAATAGTTTTTGTTAATTAATATCCTTAAACTGGACATAAAGTTACTAGAACATCACTTGAGACGAAATAATTTTAATAGTAGAGATTTCTTTACAATAAAGATAAATATTTAGCTTAATCATCACTTGGAGTAGCTGATATAAATTTAATTAAATTAATAAAGGTTATTATAAAGGCATCAGCAAATCTTCCAAATATCACAATACTAAATAAAATTTAATATTTTGTAATGTCTAAACCTATATTTTCATCACTCAAACTCATTAAAGAAGCCAAAAACATTCTTTCAGCCAATGTACTTGATTTACTGAATATAGAGTAAAACATTAAAAATATTTCTCTTTTATGGGGAAATTTAGTATGTAGATGTTCCAACATTTTTGGATGTATAATTTATAAAGCTGGTTATATTTTTCTTCTTAAAGCTACAGTTAGGACTAATTACAATATTTCAATAATAACTATTGCTCCAACTATTATACCAGCACATGTTAAATCAGTGAATATAACATTAGTTGTTTATATATTATTATCTGAATTTACTATTTCCCTTATATTCTTACTATTTACTAAGAGAAATAATTTAAAAAATTAAGATATATTTACTAAAACAAACCCAATCCAAAATAAAATAACTAAAATCTTTATGTTAATGTTATTTCTTCTAAATTTACCAATAAAAAGAGTGCTTACTATAAATATTTATGGTTCAATCAAGTCTAAATAATTCATTAATTTATTTATTTTATGAATAAGCCATGATCCAAACATACCTCCAAATATTTTCTCTATTTATTTCTAATTACTATCTTATTATCCCATAGTATGAACTTTTTTCAAATTTTATTTTGCTTATCTCAATAAAAAATTCCTCAATCTTAAAGTTAAATAACGCAATAATCCATCGTCAAATAATTATCTGGTTTCTTAAGAATCAGATATATGTAAAGCCCTTAATTAATGCTTTTCATAACTGTAATCGAATAAATGAAAAAATAAATAGACTTTACCATACATTGTTATACATGGATTATCTGAAACATCAATAAATTCAATGAACCCCAAAAGTGGATAATATTTTCCAAATGATTCACAAAATTTATCAGTAAGATTAGATTTTGACAATTAAATTTCTTTTAAAAATGATGGCAATGAAATTTAATCTAAACGATATTTTTAACAAATCCTAGTGTATTATTCTAAAATATTATCTGCATCTTCATCATCTAAATTTGTCCATATATTATCTATAAATAAGCTTTTTTAATACGAAAGAATTTATGCTAATACTTTTAAACCTTATTTCTAAAATTCATTGTCTCTTAACAATAAAAACTAAATTGAACATTAATTAAATTTTAATTCATCAAGTTTCTTAGCAAATTGATCACCTACCTTATTACTACTAATATTAATTGTTTTTATAGTTTAAGTAACAAAAATACCTTCAAGAATTTAGATCATTCCTTTACTAGTAAAGTAATTTTATTAAAGATATAATTCTTATAATTAAGTTGATTAAGTAATGGTTTATTTCAATAACTCTCCTATGGAATCATCTAATTAATTGTTACTTAAAGATAAACTTATAATATGAGAAAATAAGAATTATTCTTAATGAATTTGGTGTTCTTTTACTAAATTTTAAAAAAAACTTATTTTTAATTTACAATTAGATAAATTGAGTTGTTTTATTATGGCAGCTTGTTTTTATTTATTTTATAATGCTTAAGGAGTAAAAAATTAAATTAATTCTTTCTCATCTAAAGGATTATCAGATAAATTGAGTTCTTCAAATTGTATAGTTTTATTTTCTGACACAGCTGCAAATTTACTGTTACATAAATTGTTGACAATATTATTATTAGCTATTGATAATATTCTTATTGTAGGATTTATAGATATAGCTTCCCCTAAGGGTTCTAAATTTAGATTTCCCAAATTACATTTATTAAGAAATAAATGTTTAATAGTTCTATTTCCTGAAATTCCAATACATAATTCATTTAGCCATTCCTATCTTAATACATTTTCACTTATATCTAATGTAGTCAACTTGAATAATGAATATATATTACACTACAACAATCTGGATTTAAAAACCAGTCTTTGGCATGACCAAAGGATTCTCCTGTAAATGTGATTTAATTAAATTTTAATATTTTCAAATTTTTAAATTCTTTTAACATAGCTGCTGCCTTATTTAGATCAACATACATTAATGGATTATATGATACACAGAACATTTATAATTTCTTACAATGTACCATCTACATTCCTAACTTTTCATAACTACTTTAACTGAAACTACAATGATTAAAAGTAACTCCTAAAATATTCCTTTTTTATTTTTCTATGATATTTAATAGATTCTTTAAATTAGATTTATCAAAATGAATATCAGATAATTATAATAGTTCTATTTTTTCAGTCTAACATAAATTAAAAAATGTTTTTAATCTTTTCATTTAGGGGTTGTCTGATATATTTAAATATTAAAGATTTTCATTAGATATTATTTAACCCAATATTAATAAATCATCAGCACTCATTTATTGATGAGAAATACTGAAAATATTAAATAAATGCATACTTTAAACTTTTTAAGCACCTATTCTCTGACATAATTCTAGAAACTGCTATTAATCCTGTAAAATCTATATTATTATGAGATAGATTTAAGATCTATAGATTTCTGTAAGATGATATAACAATTTCTATATAATTAGTATGTTTAGACTCAAGTCCATTATAACTCATATCTAAACTCTCAAGTTTGAAATTTGTTATAATCTCTTCTAATTAGAATGCCTTAGCTATTTTAAATAGTTAATTTTTGCTTAAATTTAATTTTTTCAGACTACTATTAAGGATACAATTCCTCAATTTCTTGACACTTGCTATATTTAAACTTCCAATATTCAAATCTCTTAAGTTTAAATCATGGACTATAGTAGATTTTTTTAAGAATATACAAAGCAAATCTAAATCCGATTCTGTTACTGGTTTACAAGAAGATAGATCTAAGATTTCTATTTTATTAAAATATGTTGCTAAAGAACTTATAACAGGTGTAAAAATATTCTCATTTTTTGAAAAATCTAATTCTCTTAAATTAAATGATATTAATTAAAATTAATTTTAAGCAGATTTAGCAGACTTCTCTTCTTCAAGTAATATTGAAGGATTTTAATTAATATCCCAAATATCATTTTATTATTTTTATTAAAATGAACATCTAAAGCAGCGTAAACATCCACTTTTTATGAATTTTAACAAAAAAAAAATTAAAGCATATCTTATTTAATTATAAGATACATCTAAGTATTCAAAGTAAACCTATTCATGATTAATCATATATGTAATAATTGCTTCACCATCCAAATTATTGTTAGCTACATTAAATTTTTTTAACATTTTGTTATCTCTAAGTCCAAATATAAGTGAATTAAATCCTTCACTTTTTATTTAATTATTTGAAAGATTGAGTTCTATCCAAAGTGGATTCTATCTTAATATACTTGATAATTAAAATGCTCCATGACTTGTTATATTGTTATTTGTTAAATTGATTACTAAAGTGTTCATGAAAAACTATTAAGGAAAACACGAAATTAAATTAGAACTTAAGTTAACTTCATACATTTTTCTTGATAATAAATTTTAGCAACAAAACTCCTCTAATTGATTTTGTGATAAATCTAACTTTTATAAGTTTTTAATTTTTCTTAGAAATGCCTCTAGATGTGGAACTCCTTATTAATTAATAAAATTTCTTCTTATGTTAAGTTCTTTCAAATTTATCTTTCTAATATTCCAACTTACTCTTTAAGCCAAGACTTCTACTCCTTAATTTCTTATATTAGTATCTCCAATATTTAAATACTCCAAGACCTTTTTACCTTTATAATGTTAAAGGGCCATCCCTAAACTTGTTAATACATCTGTAGTGAATTACATCATTGATATATCTATAGCATTTATTGATCGAGAATATCTAAAATATAACTTATATTTACTTAAGATTTCTTAATAAATAACTCATAGCAGTACTAGATATGTTACAATGTGTTAATTTTAATTTCTTTAGATTATTCTTCCCTTTAAAAACAAATTGATTGATATCATTCATAAGATCAATATTAAAACCTTAGTTATTAAACAAATTGATTGATTATAAAGTTTGGTGATTTGCAATTGATGAAAATATATATTGTAAACTAAAACTGTTTAATTTGCATCCAGAAAGATTGATTTCACTCAAAGAAGAATTTTTTTAGAGTCCTTAACCTAATTCTATAGCTAATAGGGGATCGATTTCCATTCCTGATAGGTCAAGAGATCTAAGCATTATAAAATTAAATTTACCTTAAACTTCTTGCATTTTATAATGCAGAATTAAGAAAAGAGAAACATTACTGAATTGAAACTGGTGTTTCTCCTGAAAATCCTTCCAAAGTTTTTCGCTTTTTTAAATTAGCGATACTCTCTCTCAAGTTACTAAATTATTAAAAACATTACACATTTTGTTTTTAATGTATCAAAATTTTCATATATTTTGCAAATCTACCTTTTTAATTGTTTGTTTCAATTTTATCGTCTTCCTTCTCTTATCCATCTTGGAAATGTCTTTCTGAATGAAATATTGTTTTCTTTTATGTAGAATTCTTGGAAGTTGAAGACTTGGATATTTATTAAAATTACATTTATGAAAATTAATGAATATGATATATTAGTTTTCATAAGTTTTTCTATTTAATCAAACTTAGAACTTTTATAAATATTAGAATAAGCACAAAAAATTTAATTATTTCTTTATATTAAAAGGAAGATCCATTATAATTAGAATTAAACACAGGTTACTGTTTAAATTACAAATCATAACTTATGCTTTGAAGGAACCAAATTTAAATCTATTATTTTTTACATTCAGAAACCTTTATTATTATATATTTAATCTACATTTTATAACCTTTTATGAGTTATCTAATAATTTGAATATTATTATATATAATAAATTATTTTAGAGTCTTAAGAAATACATGAATTGTTAATTTTAGGAATTTCTAATTTTAATTGAAAACTAAGAATAATTCATTTTTTATTTTCCAAATGGAGCTAATTGGAAAACTAGTTAATATTTTTAGGATTAAACTTATGAATAATTTGATTCTAAAGTGACAACTTTTTTTTCAATTATAGGGAATTAAAAAAACTAAAAAAACCTTGCAAATATGAATAAAGATTGTTAAATTTCATAATCAAACCTTTTTTCTGTTCAATTTAATTAAAATGATTTTTCTCTAGCAAATATGATGGAATATTTATAAAGTACTGCTTTTAAACTTCAAATTTCATTGTCAATCATAATAATGCCCAAATAAATAAAATAATATGGTAATCAAAATGACTAATAGGCTAAAATAATAATAAAACAAACAAATAACAAAAATAAGATATCATTTATTTTTGGACTCCAAAATGAAAGAAATTTTATTTAAAACCCAACTCTCAACAAGTAACCAATCAAACCTGGAAATTAATTAAATATTGAGATAATAAATTTATCAGAAAATAATAAATAATCGGGGCCTTTATTGCCTAATAAGAATTTAAATCCTGCTTAATCAAATCCAATTATCAATAATCAATCCAAATAATAGTTACATGCACCAAATATAAATTAGAATAATAATTTCACTGATTAAGCCTCTTAATAGAATTAATAAATAAGTAATTAATAAATTAAATTAAAATACCCCTAATAGCACTAATAAATAGACTCTAAATAAATTATATTAAAAAACCCATAATAGCACTAATAAATAGACTCTAAATAAATTATATTAAAAAACCCATAATAGCACTAATAAATAGACTCTAAATAAATTATATTAAAAAACCCTTAATAGCACTTATAAATAGACTCTAAATAAATTATATTAAAAAACCCATAATAGCACTAATAAATTGACTCTAAATAAATTATATTAAAAAACCCTTAATAGCACTTATAAATAGACTCTAAATAAATTATATTAAAAAACCCATAATAGCACTAATAAATAGACTCTAAATAAATTATATTAAAAAACCCATAATAGCACTAATAAATAGACTCTAAATAAATTATATTAAAAAACCCATAATAGCACTAATAAATAGACTCTAAATAAATTATATTAAAAAACCCATAATAGCACTAATAAATAGACTCTAAATAAATTATATTAAAAAACCCATAATAGCACTAATAAATAGACTCTAAATAAATTATATTAAAAAACCCATAATAGCACTAATAAATAGACTCTAAATAAATTATATTAAAAAACCCATAATAGCACTAATAAATAGACTCTAAATAAATTATATTAAAAAACCCATAATAGCACTAATAAATAGACTCTAAATAAATTATATTAAAAAACCCATAATAGCACTAATAAATAGACTCTAAATAAATTATATTAAAAAACCCATAATAGCACTAATAAATAGACTCTAAATAAATTATATTAAAAAACCCATAATAGCACTAATAAATAGACTCTAAATAAATTATATTAAAAAACCCTTAATAGCACTTATAAATAGACTCTAAATAAATTATATTAAAAAACCCATAATAGCACTAATAAATTGACTCTAAATAAATTATATTAAAAAACCCTTAATAGCACTTATAAATAGACTCTAAATAAATTATATTAAAAAACCCATTAGAGCACTAAGAAATTGACTCTAAATAAATTATATTAAAAAACCAATAATAGCACTAATAATTTGACTCTAAATAAATTATATTAAAAAACCCTTAATAACACTAATAAATAGACTCTAAATAAATTATATTAAAAAACCCATAATAGCACTAATAAATAAATCCTAAATAAAATATAGTTGAAAATTGTAAATTAAATGTTCAATAATCGCCTTAAAAAATATCAAAAGAAATTGATGAATCCTAATCAGTTCTAAAAACAATTTTGATTGAAAAAATAGAAATTAAATAAGAAAAATCTAATTATAATATTTTTTCAAAAAATGAACATTATAAATATGAGACAGCTACATGTGATATTTGTTCCAACGAATATGAGAGAATACCAGAATAATAAATTTTTTTGCCATGTTGCTAAAAACCAATTCATTATAAATGTTTTTAAGAAGAACTATAAAATCTTAAAGAGCCTTTAGTGAATAAAAAATGTTGTTTTTGCCATAAAAATTTTGAAACAAATTTTATAAAAGAAAATGTTGATCCCAATATTTTTAAAATAATGGTAGAAAATTAATTTAATCTTTTATGCATTTCTGAATGCATTAGTTGTAAAGGTAAAATTTCAATTTTACCCGAATAGAAGTAAAAAGTTTGTAAAATAGAATGTGAAAATTGCAAAACAACGATTTGTTCATTTTGCATGAAGAATTTTCATGGATTTGAAAAAATTGTAATTTTTTATTATATTAACAAAGTGTTAAAGCGTTAAATAAGAAGTGCTTAAAAATTTGGAAGGATACCCAATTATATTTTGTCCATTTTGTGACTTTATTCAAACTAAAGATGAAGGATGTAATCATGTAACCTGTAATTAATGCAAAATGGATCTTTGTTCTGTATGTTCAGTTGATAGAAGACCTATTTTATCACATGGAAATCATTTTCATCGTATAGGATGCTCAGATCACAGATATAAAGAAGGATAAGAAAAAATGACTAAAGAAAGAATTAGAGATTGTTAACTTTGTAAATAAAGCCCAGATGCATATTGTCATATTCCAATTGATCTTAAGACTTATAAAAAGGAAAAAGGATTTTGAATTAAATAATTTTATAAGTAATTTATATAATCAGCTTATTATTTGTTGAATTTGATATATATA